AAGGGGAACATCAGTAGAAGATGAAGACTTAGGAAAATTAGGATGCAGTTTTATTTTATTTTAATTATTTGTAATATTATTATTGTAAACAAATTGTAAATAAATTTACAGTGTTCCAATAATAATTTATAACAAACAATTAAAGATGAATAAAAATCCTTCTTTGTCAGTTAATTCTTTTTTTTTTCAATTCACTGTCTATTTAATTATTCAAGTTTCTTAAATAACTGGAAGTAAATCCCAACTATTCTAACTTAGAATAAATAAATAATTAATAAACACAGTGGTCTTGCAATCAATAATAAACCCGACGTCCCAATTAAACATAAGCAATGCACAGTCAATCAAACAAACATCCATATGCCTATCTCTTTACTGATTAAACACTGCAAGTTCTCAATTTAAATGCCTCAGCTCATATCCCAGATATTTAGACAGAAATCTTGAACAAACGTCAACACAGTGTAACAACCAATTAAAACAATGTGAATTCAAAAAACGCTGTGGATTCAGACTCTTCTGAAACTGCGCGCGCAAACCCTAATTCTTGATTTAATGTCAAAGAAACATTCGCCTGATCAAACCCTGAGCCAAACTCAACCAAACCCTAATAATCTGCTTGAACTGATTCAAAAGTTAATGGAAACCCTAATTTGGATAGACTGCTAAGAAAAAGTCTGTTTGACTGACTCTTAAACCAATCTGAAAAGTCAGGGAAAACCCGAAGCTGTGATTTCTTGTGGAAGAATAGGAGGGTAAATTTTGGGGTACAACACAATGTATGTCAAATTTGATACATTTATCTCTTGCACAGATTATTGACTTCATAATTATTATTCCTCATCTAATCTCACTCTCCACATCACGAGCTGATTCATTTCCATCAATATTAGAAGTGAGATGATCTTTTTCCTCATTAGAAGCCATTTCACCTGTAATATTAAAGAAAAACATAAACACCATATAAAATTCAAGTAGCATTGAATGAATAGAAAAAAAATAAAAACATAAATACAATATAAAACCATAAACACAATATAAAAACAAAAACACAATTTTATGATCACTAGTACCTTTTCCACTAACATCTCTTTCGTTTCTATATAACCTATATAAATGATCAATTGATTTCATTATAATAAAAAAAATCTATAGAATAAGAATTACATTAGAATATTTATACAACATTAAACATATATGTATACACCATTAAATAATCATTAATATTCTTTTTAACATATATTTTACTAATAAAATAATATTAAACATATATATTTAACATATATTAAACAATATTTTTAACATATATATATGTTTGGAGAGATGATATGTAGATCATCCTCTAACAACATGTAACACATGTAAGAAAAGGATAAGATGAAGAGAGAGGGGAAATATTTGAATAAAAAAGTTTAACCAAACTATCATTAAAATCATTCGTCCATTTTAGTCGAGTTAAACTCAACACCCAAGATTCAATGATATTAATGAAGTTCATGATCAACAATCACATAGCCATAATGAATAAAATAAAAAGGAAAAATGATTTTTAAAATATTTTTAAAATGAAAATAAAAGGTAAAATAACAAACTATACTCAAAGTATAAAAAAAAACTTAAAGAGACCATAGAAAAATCATAAATAATCTCAAATATTTTTATAAAATTTTTGGTAATTTTTTAAAATAGAAAAGTATTTTTTAAACTAATTAAAATCACTCAAATAAGTGAAAAAAAGATCAAAAATAGTAAAAGTCAAAATAAAATTCTAAAAAAATTCCAGAAAGTCAGAAATAAGGAAAATGATTTTTTATAAAAAAATTTAGAATTTAAAAATATCAAAAAGTATTTTTAAATAATTAGAAACAAATCAAAATAAAGGAAAAATTATAAAAAATATCAAATCTGATAATAAAATCATGAAAAAATAAAAATCAGAAAGAGAATATTTGAAAATATTTTTGTGAATTTTTTCACAATTTTTGAGTCAAAAGTGAATTTTCTATGATTTTTTGAAGTTTAAATCAATTAAAATATAAAAATCAGAAAATAAAAATAAAACAAAAAGATATAGACCGTTTGATGAATGTCAAAACGTGTTAGTAATCAGATCCAAGGGATCTGGTGCACTGTACATATCATGGTCCTTAGTGAATAAACCACTGGATCAAATATTAAATCAGATTTAAAAAATAATTGGCGTATTATCATTGGTTGAGAGATGACACGTTGGTTATCTTCAACCTCCAACCACGCGAATTACAGGTCTCTCATACTATAAAATCAGGAGCTCAAACCTATGTCATTCGCTTCGTCTCATCAAGACGAAGACAACTGTACCCTCGCGAAAAATTTATTTAAGGTGTAGCTTAGTCGATTTGCAAAAAAACAGAAGGAAAAATTTGAATAGGGATTTGAAAATTCATGGCCAAAACTCACTTCTAGTTGAAAATAAATATTGTGACTAGTATCAGAATGATGAGAGCTTCATTGTAGTAACAAATTTTGAGAGAATTGATGAAGGAATCTACCTATTGAAGTTCAAATTCAGAGCTCTGAAACTTGACTTAGCTAACACGATTTAGGATGCTTTAGGGCTTGGTTCTTCTTCTGTTAGCTTCAGTGAATTTCAAGGATGAAGAATTAGCAAAGAGAATGGATTAAGGAAGGTTGTAAAACCAAATTCGAAGTTGTAGAAAAGTGGATTAAGGAGAGAGTTTGGCAGGGTGATTCTGGCTGTTCAAGCTTGAGAAAATAAGAGGAGTGAGGTCCTCTATTTATAAGGAAGCGAATAGTGCAAAGAATTAAGGGGAAATTTGAAGTTTGGAGGGAAATTGGATCAAGCTCGAAAGTGAAAAAATATGACCTCATGTGCATCAAAACTCAATCAATTCCCGCGTTTCGATCCTTAATTCAACTTTGAGAACTTTGTTAAACATGTTTAAATAAAAAACGCGAGCTAAATTGGTGATTAAAAGCCATGTTATGAATTTCAAATTCTGACTTTAGAGATAACTTCAGTTTCAAGGTACCATCTTTGAATCCATGGTGTTCACAGCTCAAGGAGTCTTAGGGCATGATTCTTGAAGCATTTGAAAGATAAGGTTACAACCTTTGTAATGTGCCAAGAGTGGAATCAAATGGATATTTGAGCTAAAAGTTGTGATGAGTCAAAGTTGAGAAAAAGATGCTGACTTTTTGAACTTAGAAAAATTCTAAGTTTTTCTTCAAAAGTGACCTATAATGTTTTGAGTTCAAACAAGGCCTTCTCCCAAAAATTGAGCTTTAATCATTGATGCTATCTTGAAGTGGACATATCAAATAACATTGTGAAACTTGAATCACTCAAAATACCAATTATTGAAAAAGTTACGGCCTTGTAAAATTGGTGAAAATTCATGAGGTGACCTATAATCTTTTGAGTCCTTAGGGCATCTTCCACTCATTTTCAAGTCTTGCACATAAAAGAAAGGTTGAAGTTCACATCCTTAATATCATTTTAAAAAAACAATAGGCTCAAGGAGATAAAAATTGACCAAGTTATAATCTTTTGAAATCACATAAGGGAATTTGATAGCCTATCTAGAGAACTTGTAATCTTTCTTCATCATTAGGCATCTTCCACACCAAATTTTCTTGAAACTCTTGAAGTGATTAGTTGATAACCCTTTAAAGAGAAGCATGTCTTTAGAATTACTCAAAAATCTCAAAAGATGAGCAAGATATAACCCTTAGAAGTTCAAAACCCTAGCTCCTCAAGCACCAAAATGACTTGGAAACCCTTTTCAATTTTGAAAAACTTTCTTGCACAATAACTTTTTCCATGTGAATAGAGGTTGTTGTGGATGATAATAAGAACCCATAGCAACAATAACCACCTCCACATATTAAGGATTGAGAGAGTTATGTACTTGTGATCAAAGAATCAAAGATTTGTCCAATTAGGCCAAACTTCTTCAATCAACCTTGGCATCTTTTGACTTTCTTTAACAAATTGAGGCATGATGAATCATAGTAGACCTTATCATGATATTACTTTAAAGCATCTTCAATGATGAAACTTGAATCTCAATAAAGCTTTGTTGAAAAAGGCATGGAAATAAACTCATGATCCTATGAATTCACCTGATGAAATGTGTTGTGCCCTCACCTATAGCATCATCATTTAGAGCAAACATTCATAGTATTTGTTAGTTAAAAGTTAATTAATACAAAACATAGATGATCACAATATACAAATCAATGTGCTTGGTGATTCCTCATGAGCAAACCTAAAGATATGGAGAAGAGTCAAACCCTAGTGTGATCTTGTTGTGATTGAGTTGATAGAGGAATCTTAGGGGCAAAAATTGGGGTACAATATTAATCAGAACCTTTCTAAAATTAATTTTGTCGGTTACTACAAAAGTAGAACTATTTATATGTCGGATAAGATCGACAGCTGTCCAGTACCGAAGATTAAGGTTGTTTAGTTTTAATTGATAAAAACCGCGAAAGTTATTTATTAATTAATTAGGAAGATTAGTATTTTAATAAAGTATTTTTAAACCTATTTCCAGACGCATTTATAAGTTTAAGATATAATTTGCCGATGCAATCACCGAAACTCTTTAAAGTATTATTTTCCAATTAAAATCACTTTTCAATTACTAGAAATTTAAAATTGATGAAAATAATTTTGATAAAGTATTGATATAAAATGATTAATAATATCAATTAATCAAATATTTTGTAATCAATCGTAAATTAGTAGTATTAAAGAAGTATAATGAATTGATGACAAGGTAACAAATAATGAGTAAATAGAATATGTATTAAATTGATAATCAATTATCCGATGTTGAGAAAAGAAATTAGACATTAAAAGTGTGGATTGCGAGCAAAGCAAGGCAATATTTGTTGAAGAAGCGGTGCCATCATCGTCGTCTGTGGCGTGGGAGCAGACGGCGTCGTATTTTGCTTGATCCAGTAAACAAAATCCCACGCCAACATCGTCATCCATGGAGGTTCATAGTTCATGGGATTCCCTTCGCAAACAGGTTCCAATTCTTCACTTTTCTTTTTCTTCCTAGATTACGTTTTTCTCATGTGAAATTCAATTATATCATATCTGTATGTGTAATTCAGAGGCTTCTCACCAGAAATTTTCCTTTTTCTTGTCGGTGATTCGTTTTCTCGCTTTGACTTTGCTCTCTATCCTTTTGCTATGATATGCCTCAAACGTGATTTAGGGTTTCAGAATTTTGAGTAATCAATTGGAATCACATGATCCTGTAGTTTGACTAGTTTCTGATTCATAGGCAAGTAACTTCTGATCTTTGGTTTAATTTGCTTAGGGAATAACTTTCTAGATTTGAAATGCTGTGTCTAGATTAATCATCGTAGTTTCAATTTATTTATTTTAATCATTTTTAGGATTACTAGTTATACATTATATTTTTTTTCTAGGCAAATTATTGACAGCAAATTTTGTTTTACTTCTCTTTTTAACTTTTTACAGGCAAGAAAAATTGAAGCTCAGTTGGATGAGCAAATGGTTTTATATCGTAAGTTGGTTTCTACAAAAGCTGAAGCAACTGAGGGTGATGTAGAGTCTTGGATTGAGCGATTACTTAACCAACTCAAACAAGTAAACTCACAGATGCAAGCTTGGGTGTCCTCTGGCGGATCAGAAATGGTATCTCATACTCTTACTAGACACCAAGAAATTTATCAAGATCTCAGTCAGGTATTGTCACACTAACCTCAGCTACTACCCCTATCATTTTGTGTGAGCATATTACTATCATGTAGTCGTAGTTTTATTGCATTTAGTAAAATATATATAAACTCTAATCCATGATGTAAGGGGTACTTTTTTTTTTTTTTTTTACCGCTGAGAAGGATTTGAGTTTAATATATTAAGCTTTTTCATTTATGTAATTGGGTATTAAGTATGAAATTAAAGGATACGCACTGACAGTGTAGTGTAAACTCAAATTTACACTGTCATCCGATCAAGTTGCTTCTTTTGGCCACATCAGCATTCTATATATGTATATTAGTTATTTTAATTTAGTAAGCAAATTATAAATCATTTTGTTTTTTTACTGTAATGATGGCGGTGCTTCTCTCCCACGTCTTCACCCCACATCTGTACTGACATCCAACCCTAGTCACTGCAGAGTACCACTTTTCTTGTTAATTAATCTATTTGCCCCTGTTTTACTCAACAATGTTTGTAAGAATTTTATTCAACTGTTCAAACAATTTTTTAAGAATTGTTTATTGGGTGAATGGACGTTCTGGTGTTTTTGGAAGATATAAGATCTCATCAGCATCGCTTCGGCACAACAGCCATGATTTCTGGCAAGTGTGTGACAACAGATTATGTCGTTGTGCATTCTTTTCCATCCCTGCACCAGAAATATGCTTCTTGCAACACTGCCCACTCATCGCTCGGCCATGGTTTCCCTCTTCATTGTGATGGTGACGTAAATGACCATACAAGTTCTACTTTCCGACTCCTTGTCTTAGTGATGTATCAGGCAGGCTGCAGAGAAGAGTTGTGAAATTTGAGTGGAGTGTGCAGAGAAGGAGAAAGGGTAATGGAATTGAAATTCAGGGGTTTGGGAATTTATTTAATTAATGCAATGATGTTATCTGGAAATTATATACTTACTGACAGTGACAAAATCATTAAATTTGATTGGGCGACAGTGTAAAGTAACTTTACATTGTGAGTACTCATCCCTTTAACTCATTAAGTATCATTACAAGTTCTGCCAATAAATTTATACTTGAACTTTGGTTTCAAAAGATAGCTCTTTTTTACAGACAAGAGTATGACAAACAGGACTAAATGTCATCAGCTTTATTTCTTGTGAAAAGCTCAAACCTTTGATATGATTATATATCTTTCTGTATATATTTCAGCCTTTAATTGAGTCGGCTACATGGATCAATTGATGCCATAATATCCCGTAACCGCTATGAACCATATCTAAAGATGAACTATTTAACTCCGAATCTTTCTTAATGGTCCAGCATATAGATTTTTGTGGTCTTTCTCTACCTTTAACTAATGTCCTATGTTGGATCTATCCTCATTTCCAGAGCTTTTATGAGTATTATCCACACATGCTCAAATCACCTAAGATTTGATTCTATGATTTTTTTTACAATGGAAGCTACCCTTAATTTTTTCTAATGATATGATTCTAAAACCTAATCCAATATTATATTGTCTGATGGCATAGTTAGTTATTTATTGCGCAGCATTTAGCTTCTTATTGATTCATTATTTTCTTCTGATTTTAATTTTTTGTCGTAAGCTTATATCTGCCACACCAACTTGTTTTTATATGTATTTAATTTGAAATGCAGGAGTTTTATCGTCTGCGGTCTAGTCTTAGAGCCAAGCAAGAACATGCTTCACTACTTGATGATTTTAAAGAGTTTGATCGAACAAGATTAGATTTGGAAGAGGGTGGAGGTTCTGAACAGCAAACCCTCCTTAAAGAGCGTGCATCTATCAGCCGAAGTACAGGACAGGTTGTTGACATGAAACCTTTTTTTGTTATAAAGTTCTGTTATCGAATCAAGATCCATCCACCAGAGGACTTTACTTATCATGTACCCGCATTCCGGGATATTCTGTTCTGCCCATATAACTATGTATAGGTTTTTAATGATTTGATATGTGTCATTCCACTGCCATCTTTAACCTGGAATGTGTGCCGAGTTAATGGGCTAAATTTCCAAATGTTCCTTTAATTTTCATTTTTATTTTAAGTTCTATCTAAGGAGTCTGATCCGCAGCTATGGCTGTCCTGTTTTAATCTGTTGCACTCATTCTTGTACTGCAGATGGACTCTGTTATTTCACAAGCACAAGCAACGCTCGGTGCTCTAGTCTTCCAGCGTTCAACTTTTGGTGGAATTAATTCAAAGCTCAGCAACGTGAGCAGTCGCCTTCCAACGGTACGAATATTATTGAAGTTTAAGTAAACATTGAATAAGGTCAATATTAATGTTGTTTAATGAGAAATTTTAACAATGTTGCAGGTAAATACTATTCTGTCAGCAATAAAGCGGAAAAAGTCGATGGATACCATTATACTTTCCCTAGTTGGATCTGTATGCATTTTTCTTATTTTCATCTACTGGCTAACCAAGTAAAGATGATGTTTTTTGTGTTGGTAGCTTGAGTTTAATCTATTGTATACTTGTTTGTTATGGGTGGGGTAATGTATTGTTTGATTGCTGGCGTCCCTTCATATGAAGCAAAGCCTAGTAAAGATGTAGTTGCGAAAACTAATTTTTCGACATCAATGTATAAAATTATAAGTGTTCCAATACATAGTTCGGATAGCATTCGAATACGGGCATAGGATGAATTAAACATATGTAAATTATATTTTTCCGAACTTGTTTAACGGTTTGGATAAGGCCTATGCGCGTTCAACAAATGCTTGAATCACGCATGATGATCACTATGTAGGAGTTGAAGGCCACTTTCTTAGAATCAGTAACTTGCTGTGTATGTGTGTTAGTGGATTTAGACAGAAGTTCACAAAAACTTGCTTACAAATTTGCCAGAGAAATTGTAATACTATAAATCAAATATTAAAGAGAACTAGACAAAAATGAGACAAGAGAAGTTCAATTGCACACAAACTACAATTTCATGCCAAAAATACTGTGAATGTTATTTAGGCAGAACTAAAAGGATTACAGTTCCAAAGTACTTGAGAAAAGAAATGACACTAATCACTTTTTCTTTAAAGTAAAGGTGATATGAAATTAAAGAATCATGGTCCAATTGTGGCTAAATAAGCGCAGGAAATTGAGTGGAAAACTTTATTTATCTGATGCACTGTATTCAGTTGGCTTAGCATAGATTATGCACATAAAGATTCAAGTTAGGTGTCTATAGTTAATTGTTTGAATAACTTAAAATCACCACTCACTAATTTGTCTAGTTAATTGGATGATGTAAGCATTCAAGAACTATACACACAGTTTGATGTCGATTTATTCGAGATCATTCTGCTGCTGCAGATGATCCGGATTCGTGAATTTCACCTACAATGATATTATTTTAGTGTGTGTTTGGATTCGTGTAAATTCTCATTTTTTAGGTGTCCTTAAACAAGTTCACTGCATTCTCATTTTTCTGGTGTCTTTAAACAAGTTCACTGCATAACCTATCATATATGTGCCTTGAATACTAACAAGATAAATTGGATTGAAAGTATGAAAATTTTGACCTTTTCTTATTCATTGAACAAATGCAATTTATTATATACTATGAACCATCCTATAAGATTCTGTATGTAAGAAAAGTTATGGTGGGCTGTCCATAATAATGTATTGTATTTTTCTAATGCTTTTCCTATCTGAGGCAGACACAGACATATCCTTTTCTTGTCCTTATACTTATTTTTTGCCGAAGATTTTGAACTCAAACCAACTTGAACACGAGCTAGGAGGAATAATCAATTTCAAAAAGTTATTACTTGTCCATCAATGTCAGAGAATTTCTTGCTAGGTACCATAGTATGTGGTTTTCAATGCAAGTCCTTAGGCCTTAGTCGCTTGTGTCCAACATTTTGTATTGGTTGAGGGAAAGTGAAAGGTTAAAGCAAGAGAAGGGGGACCTTATTTTCTCTAACTTGTATTACTATATGATAAGTAAATATGTTCGGAACTAGTGAACTATAATACTTGATATAAATTTCGGGTTTTAAGTGCACCACATAGTTATTGATCTCGAATGTCTATATCTATTAGATAATCGAGATTGTTTAAAATTAATTCATTGACGGTATGGTCCGAATGTTCAGTCTTAAATTAATGACAGAAATCTAATAACATTCGGATGCAATGTCACAAATTTCTTTTAATTTAATCAGATGTTTTAGATTTGAATTTAATTCTGAGATTAGAAGAATACTAGATCTTTTGAATGAGAATTTTTTACGAATTGTGATTTTCACCTATTTGAATAATTAGTCTCTGCAATTGTGGGCAAATTGTGGACAGAGAAAAGAAGAGGAGATTGAATTCATAAAAAATACAATGACTAATATTGATTAGTGTGTGATATTAGTATTGGTCAAGATTGACTATGGGCTAATTTATGCCTACACTAAGCTTAGTGGAAACATAACTAATATTTTAAATTTCATATTCAACTTTTGTTACCTAATCTAGCTAACATGTTCTTTATGATTAAATAGTAATTCCACTTTGAAAGAGAAACAACATAATTCCACTTGAGAGAAATGAAATATAGCTCGAGTGTTTTGGAAATTAATTTGCTTGGTGAATGATGCAGCATGTGGTGTGGGGCAAAAGAAGCATGATGGTGATATAATATTGAAGACATGAAATTATGGATTGTGATCTTTTAAGGTGAAAGTTAGGATTGGTTGTCTCTAGATTGGAAATTTTCATTTCATGCTTTTTCTACTTGAAAGAAAAGACATGAAACTGTCTTCTGAAATTCCTAGAATAGGCTTCAATTATTAAAGTAATACACTATGATTTAATATAAATATTTTTTTATTAAAGGAAAAGAATGGAAAAAAATATGGCCCCACACTTAATTTGCAAGGTAGAAAAAATTATCTTTCATAAAACAATTTAATCACTCGTAATTTGTTATGCATGTATATATAATATGAGTTATTCATTTATTTATTAACGAGATGTATTGTTCAACTTATTATCTAAAGTGAGTTATTGACTCAGTTTAGAGCAACTAGTAATTTATTATGCATGTGTATATAATATCATTTATGTTGTTTTATTTATCATCTAAAGCTAAAGCGAATTATGACTTATTTTAGAATGACTCGCCCTCTAATAATACTAATGACCTAATTTAGTTTTTAATATCATCTCAACTATGATATATTCCAAATTTGAATAGGAACTTTATCATTTATCATGATTAAACATGAATCTATAACTTAGGTTTGTTTCATTCTTGAAAGTTCATATTAAAGTGAACTCTCTCTTTCTCTCTCCCAACACAAAAACCAATGTCTTATGATTTTTAGGTCATGCTATATTAAGACCTTGTAACTGTAAAATAGTGACATCAATTTCTAAACATATATATAACACTCAGAATTTATTGCTACATTACATCATTCATAAACTTCCTCTTCCTATATAGGAACAAAATCTTAGCATATTTTTCTCCTATATGGACCTTCTAAGATTAGAACCATGTTCATCTCATAATTTGAATCTCTCTTTTTCTGACAAAAGACAGACAGAAAATGAAGAGGAGAAACATCATCTACTTCTTGATTTAAGTCTTCCTAGCAAAGAACATTCGGGTGATAAGGAGTCGTCGAAGCAAGAACTCAATCTCATAAACTGTTTTGATACCGAGGCGTCGAATTCGATGAACTCATCCACAGAATCTAATCATGGTAATGAATTAGAGCCAAGGATTTTCTCATGCAACTACTGTCAAAGAAAGTTTTATAGTTCACAGGCACTTGGTGGACACCAAAATGCACACAAAAGAGAAAGAACCATGGCGAAAAGAGGATACAAAACTACAGTTTCGCTAGATTTTGAACACAGGTACAAAAGTTTGGCTTCTCTACCTTTGCATGGCTCATATATCAGATCATCATCGTCTTCTTCACCATCACTCGGAATTCAGGTGCATTCTTCTATGATTCATAAACCTTGTTATCAAGCACCATTTTTCGGTTTGTCTCGTTCTCGTGTTCAAAGCCAGTGGCAGAAGCTGCCTGTGTATTCACAACCAGCAATCGGAAATCTTGCATCAGAAACTGATGGATCATCATTTTCTCCATCAAAGGTTCAAGATGGATTTGGAGGATACTGGTTTGGTAACAGTGCTACTGCTACTGATACACGTTTGAAGACTAAACAAGATGAGTTGCAGAAGCTTGATTTGTCCCTCAAACTCTAAGTGCTTTTAATATATATCTTATATTGAATATTTGTGTCTTAATTTTTTTCCTTCTGTTTATTAATTTGTCTTTTGTTATAATTGATTAATTTGCAAGTTAATTAAAAGTTAAAACCCCCACACAATTCAACTTTGCTTTGTATATTTTGGAGGATATGGAATTTCTTTAGATGGATAATTTGAAACTAAATGCAGCCAAACTATCTTAATTAATTAGAAAGAAAAATTGATTGTGTGTTTCTTTTGTCCGTAGACGAGTAGTCTTAAACACCACCGGAAACTCACACACATACGGGGACTCGGGCTAACAATATCGACACACACATAGGTACGTACGAGGACTTGGATTTAGACTCTTATAAAAGTATTCAGTCTAATAATATTGACACATACGTTAGAGGACTCGACTTCAGACTATAAAAGTATTTAGTCTATTAATATTGACACATACGAGGACTCGGGTTCAGTCTTAGATAAAAATATTCAGTTTAACAATATCGACACACACGTACGTACGAGGAGTTGGGTTTAGACTCTTATAAAAATATTCAGTCTAATAATATTGATACACATTAGAGGACTCGGGTTCAGACTATAAAAATATTTAGTCTAATAATATTGACACACATACGAGAACTCAAATTCAGTTTTAGATAAAAATATTCGGTGGACATTATCCGATGATATTGGTTTTAGAAACTATTGAGAGTGAAGTTATTGTCAACCTAGGACTGTGTTTAGATGTGGTTATTTTTGTCTGACATTTTAGGTGACAGTAGTCCATACTAGTGCTTAGAAAATTGAATGCTATTGCTAGCTAGTTAGTGACTGTCCTTGTGTTTTTAATTCATATATATGAAGAATTGGTCCACCAACCAAATTATGTACTCAAAGTAATGGTAATTGCGGTGATATAGTATTAGTGATTTCTACTTTGACCCACTTGCAGTTGGAGAAATTGACTTTCTCTATTGGAAGGGATAAAAAATGTTGGTGTGGTGAGGTAAGCCATGTTCTAAAAGGAGGAACCCACAGCACAAACTCTCAAGTGTAAATAAATACTATGCATTGCATACTAGTACATACTATCGATTTGTTAGGTACAACTCATATGAATATCGAAGATCATGAGAGATTCTGAATCAAAACCGTCTTTGAGGGTGTATAAAGTGGCAATGGATTAATCTATCTAGTGATACTAAATTTATAACAAAAA